TTAACTTATTTAAATTAATTTAATTTATTAATTTAATGTATTGATTTTAATTTTTTAAAATTACCTAAATGTTATCTAAACATTTAAAATTTTATTCATTTAACTTATTTAATTTATTAATTTAATATATTGATTTTAATTTATTTAAATTACCTAAATGTTATCTAAACTTAAAAAATTTAATTAATTTAACTTATTTAAATTAATTTAATTTATTAATTTAATGTATTGATTTTAATTTTTTTAAAATTACCTAAATGTTATCTAAACATTTAAAATTTTATTCATTTAACTTAATTTAACTTAATTTATTAATTTAATATATTGATTTTAATTTATTTTAATTACCTAAATGTTATCTAAACATTTAAAAATGTATTCATTTAACTTATTTAAATTAATTAAATTTATTAATTTTAATTTATTGATTTTAACTTATTTAAATTATATAAATTATCAAAATATTATTTCCATTTTCTTTCCAGCTCTTGCTCCCAACTCTCCTCCAGCAAATTTAGATCTTGATTAATAAACAATAAATAAACAAACAAACTCTACTTTAAATCTATTTACAGCCTATTGTAACGTTTTCTAATATTCTACAGGGATGCAAACAAAAAGAATCATTTTACATCCAATAAAAGCACCAAAATTATGCAACACAATGTGTGAAAAGAGGAATTTACACCTGGACCTTCCACGGGCACAAACAGTTTTTATTTTCTATGAAAGAAACATAAAAAGTGAAGAGAAAACGCAGCAATGACAAATATTACCATTTAAAAATGCTGAAATGAAACCAGGGAAACAAATTTTTTCCCACTTTTTCCTGCAGACAAGGTCTTGGAATATTCTGATGCAGGACAAAGTCAAACTAACACTTCATAAGGGAAGTAAAAATGTCAGAATGCAAATTCAATACATTTTCCTTTTACATCTTAGGATCTAAAATAAAAAATAAAACAACCAAAGTCCATTTGCAGAACCAGCCTCCGTTTTTTGTCCCCACAGATGTGAGAACCTGGAGGAATAACCCCAAAAATCCCAGGGGATGCTGGTGCAGAGCTGGGGCTCAGCTTTTCCTCTCCTGATGCCACCATTTCCTCCCAGCCTTGCTGAAAAAACACTTTTGTGTTTTATTGGTTTGATTTGGTTGATTTCCTGCACTCAGATGGATGATGGGCAGCTTTTTGTGGACGTTTGTCCAGGCTAAATTCAGATGTTCAGGCTAAACTTTGATTATCTGAAATCCCCCCTGGCCCAAGGGAGCTCCAGGGGCTGGGAACAGCCCCTGCCCAGAAGCAGGTGTGTGGTAATTCCATCATTTGGGTAATTCCAGAAATGATGAGCTGATAAAATTCCCCATCTGGAGCTGCAGGAGTGGCAGATGCTCAAGGAAAGGTGGAGCATCTCCCCAGAGTGAGGGATGAACACATCCAGGGAGAGGATTCCCTTGGAGGAGCCAGGAGGGCAGGGATGGAGCCTGGATCCTCTGCAGGGCAGGACAGGGATGGGCTGGGATGGCTCCACACAGCCCTCAGCCCTCAGCTCCCACCTGGCCCTGGGAAACCTTCTGCACTGGGAGGGATAAAATGATAATCCATTGGGAGGGATAAAATGATATTCCAATGGGAGGGATAAAATGATATTCCAATGGGAGGGATAAAATGATACTCATTGGGAGGGATAAAATGATATCTCAATGGGAGGGATAAAATGATATCCATTGGGAGGGATAAAATGATATTTCATGGGCTGCCAGGTGCTGCTCACCTGAGGAATTTCCTCTAAAAAAAAAGGAAATGCCCCTGGCTGTGCTGCCCTGCCCATCTCCAGCACTGAGCTTGGAGAGAAGCAGGGCAGGACATCCCTGGTTATTCAGGGGAAAAAGGAGAGGACATTGCTGGTTATTCAGGGGAAAAAAGGAGAGAATATTCCTGGTTATCCAGGGGAA